TGAACTATTCTATCCTTTGGCCGCCAATAGACTGATTTTATGAACACATGTTGTTTTTCAAACACAACTCGTAATAGAAAGAATCTGGAACCAGTGAATTCATTTGGTTCGTGAAAAACAAAGGGGGCTATTTTACAAAAAATATGTCYTCGTGACAAAAATCTTGAACTGATGAGTCCATTTGGATGCGAAGCCTTYGTGGTTTCAAAAAAGTGTTGGAAATGTAGTCGGGCTGTTAACATTTGTTATCATAGATAAGAAAAAGGTCGTTAGGCCAAGAAAAAAAAATAATTATGTCAAAAGATTCTCCGTTATCGGGGAGAGAAAGAATTGTTTGAAAAGATGAGAGTCTCTGAAACGTGGTAGCAGTCCAAGAGAATCAAAAGATGAAGATAAAATTATATTATGTTGAAATTTTGCAACAGCTCGTGAACTCGAATTAATAGGAAATTTGGTCGGCATGTCCTTGGCTAGGTATATGTTTGTTGAAACAAAAATACGTTTAAACATATGAGAAAAAGCCATAGAATTCTCGATTCAAGACGGGTATGTGCATTATGACACTTGCAAACGCAGTTGTCATGCAACCAGAAACAGCACMCGTTTTAGAAGAAATATACTCGCGACTAAGTATATAACCGAAGAGCACAAGAACACCAACCTTGAGGAACAGAGAGTGCTAAGAACAAGCATCCTAAGAAAGAAGGAAACGCCTTCATTCAAAGATTAGTGGCGAACGGAGGTCATCAGTCATCCAGAATGACAACTAATTTTTTWWWAAAYTTATTATGGGGAGATCAAAGCATTTTCGCGATTCAGTCAACTCGACTAAGCATCAAAAGCAAAAGTTCAACAAACTGTGAAATTTCACACTGGGATTTGCGATCCCAGGTACAATAGACATCCACCTTGCTGACTGGATTTGATGGMAAATCTTCGATGTCGAGACTGTCAAACTCCCAATGATATATTCGGAGTGATTATGTAAGAGAATTTGTTGCGTYCGTAGTATTTGACATAACGCTAAAGGTACCATGGGCTTGTTCCATGAACCTCAAAGAGGTCAAAGAGATAAAGTCAGATCGAGATAGTTTTACCAATACGTTATATGAGAACGTAAAAAAGGTCACAAAAACTAAAAAGYAAGGGATAAAATTCYGAAGGCACACGTTCATAAATTTGTGATGTGCTACAATGCTGCAAGAGTTTGAGCTCACTATATTTACCGAGTCCATCTCGAAATATTTAACAAGCTACAAGCTCTACCGACTACCGAGTCTATCTCGAAATGCGCAGTGAGCTCCGAGCTCGATATATTTACCAAGTCCACCTCAAATACGTTACGAGCTATGAGCTCCACTGAGTCCATCTCGAAATATTTAATGAGCTACGAGCTCCACCGAATCCATCTCAAAATGCGCAGTGAGCTCCGAGCACGGTATATTTACCGAGTCCGCTTCAAATACGTAACGAGCTATGAGTTCCACCGAGTCCGTCTCGAAATATTTAACGAGTTATGAGTTTCACCAAGTCCATCTCGAAATACCTATAACGAGCTACGAACTCCACTAAATCCATCTCGAAATGGTTAATGAGCTACGAGCTCTACATTTTACCGAGGTCATCTTGAAATATACAACGAGCTCCGAGCTCTACATTTTACCAAGTTCATCTCGAAACATATAATGAGCTACGAACTCTACATTTTTCYGAGTTCATCTYGAAACATATAACGAGCTACGAGCTCTACATTTTACCGAGGTCATCTCGAAATACACAACAAGCTCCGAGCTCTACATTTTACCGAGTTCATCTCGAAAAATATAACGAGCTGCGAGCTCTACATTTTACCGAAAATTTCTCAAAACATATAACGAGCTACGAGCTCTACATTTTATCGAGTCCATCTCAAAATATTCAACGAGCTTCGTGCTCATTATATTTACCAAGTTCAGCTCGAATATTTGGACTCCAAGTTCTCARAAAACTAAGTTTGGCAATGTGATCAATTCGTATTATGATTGATTATAAGCCTACAAGTTAACAAGATATGATGTATTCTCTTAAATTAACATAGAGTTTTAAACTCCAAAAGAAAGACGAGATGGAAAGATAGCTAGATGGGAGAATAGCAAGATGGAAAGATTTAAATAGAAACTTAAGTCCTCCAAGCTAAAGAATTAACGCTTGAAGAACTTGGGGGCAAACTGTTGGCATTGGATCTCGTACCATGAATCCGGTCCATTTCATCCCCAGCCCATCATCACACAAGGTCCATTACATGTCTAAATGGCCAAATCAAAACAGTCAATTCTCAACATTAATATGTGATTCAATTCATGAATTAATGGTGGTGGTCAAACCTTGGAATTAATTTGTGAATTAATTCTGAATTTAATTTCTAAAGAGGAAGAAGATTATAAGAGAGAAGTGTGGAAGAGAAGAAAGGGATCCTTTTCACGAGAAAAAGACTTGTATACTAGAAATAATTATTGTTCTTTCTTCTTCAAGATTCACTTCGTGTACTACTAATAAAATTATGATTCATATTTCTTCTTGATTCCTGTTTGTTAATTATTTCATTTGTTTTGATGTTTTATCTAAGGAGAAGCTTTGATCCCAATCTCTTTTGTTGTGAATCGAATCAAGTCGAATTTTGCACTCACACACAAAGTCTCTCCCTCTCTGTATTTCCTCGCTTTTGATAAGTGTGATCAAGTCTAGTGTCGTGAAGGG